AGGCCATTTTAGACCATGGGAGATTAGGTTTAGAGCTAAGGGATGGGAGAGCTAGCGATGGCGGGGGGTCGCGCTTCAACTTATTATTTTTATTCACTAGGATTTACATTCTCATAACATAGGTTTTTGTTTCCAACCCAAGTTGCGTTTGCACATTATACAAAGCGGAGCGACATGGAAGCACTATCCAGGGGAGGTTATTGCGCATCGTGTAGTAGCACTTCATTTCTTTCTTTGATGCCGAGTGATACCCCGTGATCACCCATAATTACCGCTTGCCCGGCTGATTGGCATACTTGATACGAATCCACCCCCCATGGCCCACAATGCATCGGCCCAGAGCCAGTACACCCGTGGAACCCATTCATAGTAATCCCAAGTGTACAAAATACAGGCCTTAGCTCTCCGTCCGCACTTATTTCGATCAATCAATCCATCATGCAACCTTAACCTTGAACTAATCCACGGCGTGTTGGGGATCATGAATGCTGCTCGGTATGCTCACAGTACCCCCAACATGTTCGTGGCTTTGTCCCCTTGTTCGTTTACCCGTTTGTTTGCCCGCTTTGCCGGTCCGTTCACCCGCTTGATTGTTCATTTGTTCGTTTTCCCGCGCGTTCACTTGTTCGCTCACTCATCCGTCCGCATTCCCGCAGTGCATGTATGGAAACCGTTAAGGCGGAGGTGGAAGGGATGGAAATGGAGGATGGAAACAGGAGGGATAGTAGTGTTCTTTGTGGTGCCTGTCTTGTTCTTGCATTTGTTAGCATGGCGGAGTGCGTTAGGCAAGGCAGAGAGGTGGGATAGGGATAGGGAGAGGCAGAACCAGGAGAGTCTGGGTGACTCTATAGGAGTCTTTGCGATGTATTCCTTGGGTTAGCAAGGAAGTGTGCGCAGGAGAGGAGAGCCTGTGTGAGCGAGCGAGCCTGGATGATAGTGGGCATGAGTGCTTGGCGTTTCGTTTGATCGAGTGACAGCCCGTGATCGCGGTCGTCGTGCTTTTAGCTCCGGAGTCATAGCTGTTTAAAAGGGCAGAGGATAGGCCGCTGGGCAAGTATGTTAAATCGCTGTGGTGCTTACCTAATCTGAGCACTAACCTACTGGGTGAGTATGGCTCTATAAGTGAATGGTGGTGGCGCTTATGTAATCTGTACGCTAACCCGGAGTGGATGAAAGGTGATGGGTGAGTATATTATATGAACCACTGCTCTTAGCTAACAACCACGCCCAAATGGAAAAAGAGTTAAAAAATAAAAAAAAGTCTGTTGAACCGGGCTGGTTGGCCGGCTGAAACTACTTGTGTGTAACGCGAATTATGCAGCAAAACTGGCCATTTACGCTAATCTTTAGTGAAGGAAAAAAGTCTGTCGAACTCTTGGGGCAGTGGCCGGAGGGGAAACTGGTGTCTCTGTGGTCGAGAGGGCCCTCGAGCCAACTAGAGAGAGTTCGACAGACTTACCCTTAATACCCGGTACCACAGAACACAGTTCACAAAACCAACAAGATGCTTTCTGCCATAGCCATTTATTCTAGGGATCGACAAATAGTATACAAAATACTCCACCGTCGCTCTCCGTCGTCCTTACCCCTAGCCACCGAAAGGTCATCACCTAAAGCCGTCGAAAGACGGTTATCGTCGTTGGAAAGTACGAGCGTCCGGTAGAGGCTACGAGCATGGGAAAGGGGTCGTCATTATCCGGTGTCGTTGTTTGTCGCTGGAAAGCATGGAAGCCATCGGAAGGAAACAAGCTGGAAGTAGCATATGCGTGAAGGCTAGGAAGCGGTGAGAGTTCTTTGGAGGGTCTTTCCCTTGTTAGCCCGGGAGTACGGAAGGGAAAGGGAGACATATGTGGAGGAGGATGGATATGTGTAGTGACTGGTGGAAGGGCCGGGGAGTCATATTTTATTTCTTATATACTCCTGGCCTTTCCCTTAGTTAGTAAAGTTGCAAAACACATATCCTCCTTCCTCACCTAAAGGTCTTGTTATGCGATCGCAGTATCCCTTGTCCTGTTGGAAGTCACATAGTGGAGAAAGGAGGTGAAGCACAAAGTGGTGGGGCCGATCAAGGAAAGAAAATAGAAGAGATCTTTTTTTATTTCTTGCTTATTCTTCGAGAGACACACCAGAGACTGCCGTACTTATAGCAGTCAGTAACATGAATATACATCAGTATGGCTTCGGCCCATTCCTAGTCCTTTGTGTGTCAATCGGCCACGTTGCTGGCCGAACATATCCATTCAACTCATCACAATGAGGTAACATTTCCGACATCCAACCGCTGTCGCTCTATCATCGCCCGTATCTGTGCCGCATTTCGCTGCTCAAGCCGTTGAACGTGTCCCGCAACCACCCCGCCGATGCGGAAACAGTGGAGCAAGGTGGTCAACAGGATGCACAATCCGTTCCAGCATAATCAAGCACGTCCGGAGTCTTGACCCTGCTAGCACTAGCGCTGCGTCTACTGTCGGGTGGAAGCGTGTTGGCGCGGGGGTCGGGAACTGGGAGAGTGCCGGGGGGTTGGTTGCCTTGTATGAAACTGCTGGCGTGGTCTGCAAGGCGGGCGATGCGCTTTCTAGATCTTGACGAGCCTTGTCCCGGCGGCCGGTGCCACCCGTGTACTCAGGGCCTGGGCTACACCCTGTGCTAGCGGCGCCGTGTGCATATTAGTAGCTTGGGGCATAGCCGCTGGTTGCTGCCAGGAGGGGAAGGGGGGTGGTGCTAGTCCCGCTGGTACCGTCCCCTGTGGCATAGCCGGCGGCTGATGCCAGCAGCCGGTGGGTGGCGCCAGCAGCCGGTGGGTGGCGCCAGCAGCCGGTGGGTGGCGCCAGCAGCCGGTGGGTGGCGCCAGCAGCCGGTGGGTGGCGCCAGCAGCCGGTGGG